TTAGTAAAATGTTGGCCTGGGTGGATCACAGCTTTGACTCAGTCATAATTCCTATGTGCCTATGTACATAAAATGGGTCAAGATTATTCAATTTCATGTCCTCTCTAATTCTGCTACAGCCTTTTATATCTGGCTTCAGGGTAATGTTTTATAAATAGTAATCTTTGCTTTCTTGTTGCAACACTTCAATGTCTTATAAGGAAGTAATAGGAAATTGATGTACTTATTGTTTTCTTTCCCCTTTGAGCCATAATTTCCAAACATGACAGATCTCATCTTCTTTTAACAAAATGTGTTTGGGGCGCCTGGGTGGCTCAGTAGGTTAAGCGTTTGCCTTGGACTCAGATCATAATATCAGGGTCCTGGGATCAAGTCCCGCATCAGGCTCCCTGCTCATCAGAAGTCTGCGTCTCCCTCTGCCCCTCCCCCTGCTCAGGTACTCGTGCTCTCTCTCCCTCTCAAAAATAAATTTTTAAAAATGTGTTTAGGCGCCTGGGTGGCTCAGTTGTTTAAGCGTCTGCCTTTGGCTCAGGTCATGATCTCAGGGTCCTTTGATCAAGCCCCACATCGGGCTCCCTGCTCAGGGCGAGTCTGCCTTACCCTCTCACTCTTCCTCTCTGCTCTCCCTCTCTCTCTCAAATAAATACAAAAATAAAATCTTTAGAAAGAAATGTGTTTATCAGCTATAAGACACCATTTTTCTTTGATAAAAAAATAAAGTACCTTTTATCTATGAGAGGATTTTCTGTCAGAAATCTTACATGGCAAGACAAATGACAATATTGAAATTTTTTTCTAAGATGACTTTTCATATAAGAGATGATTTCCTTAATGAAGAGATGCAATCATTCCTAACTGTTGGAGACATAATTTACACAGTAGGCAAAGAGAAGTCCAAATTTGAAATTAATGGCATACAAGAGAGCAGTTCTCACTGTCCAAGATCAGCCCATAGAGGTTTATTTGAAGGATTGTTAATTCCTTTACATTTCAGAAGGGGGGGCAAAATGATAAAAGAGGAGGTAAATATCATCCCCAAATAAATATCAGTTATTATAATAGAAAAGTTATAAAGAGAAAAAAATTCATATTAACACAGTCTTCAGTTCCCCATAGCTAAATTATTAATGAACTGAGAAATGACCAAAGTTCATGCAGAGAGGAATTGAAAATAATATATTCATGTTTTAGTCAAATTCAGTTCTAGCCCCAAATTTCATATTTCCCAAAAAAGGAATATCTCGGGACATTGACAAGTTATAGCTGACACATCAAGACAAAGTGGAAGCTTCATACTAAAGTAAGGCTCCAGACCCAAATTCAGATATTTTTATTATGATTTTTAATTCCAGTATAATTAACACACAGTGTTATATTAGTTTTAGGTGCACAATTCAGTGAACAAGTTCAGATTTTAAAGGAAATGATAACAAAACTCTTGGACCTCTCAGGTCCTCCATCCCCAAAGGGTAGGGAATAGGAGACGCCTGTTCCCTCTCCTCACTTTCATTTGGATATGCAGGGGCCTCCAAAAAGCCTACTGAGAAAGCACACTGTCTTATCCCTGCAGTGGTGAGGCTTATGACTAGTCTGATTCCCATCCAGAGAAATTAAGAAGTCAAGAGATCAGCTTACCAAATGCTGTGGTGCTAAAGGAGAAGAGGTTCTATTGTTTGGAGATTGGCCTGCACTCTCAAATTTGCCGTACATGAGGGTTTCCCATAGCTGGATGTGGGCCATATATGAAGAAGAGCTCACCTTGGATTCAGTTCGATGGAGCTACTGAAAGGGATCAAGGGGTCTATCCACAAGGATAGGATCTAAGTGAATCCCTTATGTCTAGAGGTAGCAAGGGTGGAAAGATCAAGGCAGCATTCAAACACAAATTTATCTATCAGGGAACCAGAGGTGAGAGACCCCAATGGTGGGACTCTTTCAAGTACCCACAAAAGCATCCATAAAAGAGTTAGCCCTAAATATCTGCCAATCCCAGGAACTCAAATCTAGCCCACCAAAGTCAAGTTCAAGTAAAAATACACTTACCATCTTTTTCTTCCTGCTTCTCATGCTCCAAATCTAGAACGACCTGAAGCCAAGGTTAGCAAAATGGCACCTAAAATCAGCACAACCTGAAAGAAGGGGTGAAAGATGTAACTTTCAGTTAAAAGCAGAATTTAGATTATTATACAAGAACCAATACTCTTAATTTATGAATCCAGACTGTTTGGGGCCTTAAAATGTTAAGGTATGTTTATTACCTAAGAGTGAGTAGAAAACCTTGGGGTGTTGGGGGGGGGTGCCTGGGTGGCTCAGTTGGTTAAGCCTTCAACTCTTGGTTTCAGCTCAGGTCATGATCTCAGGGTTTTGATATCAAGCCCTGCATAGGGTTCTTTGCTCTGTGGGAGTCCGCTTCCCCTTCTCTCTCTCCCTATGCACCTCCCCTGACTCGTGCTCTCTCTCTCTCTCTCAAATAAATGAATCTTAAAAAAAAATAAAGAAAAAAAGAAAAGAAAATCTTGGAACTCTAATTCAATAGTGGGGGAAAACTCCCACCATTGGAAAGATTTAAAGAGATAATGGGAAGCAAAAAAAAAAAATGTGTTTTATTAGGTCTTATGCTTAGGGCTTGTTCAATGTAAAAGTAATTTAAAAAAAATCACTCACACATAAGCCTTATACCAATTCCACCCTATAAGGCTCCTGTGTAAACAACTTATTGTTTACTTGCCCTAGATAGAGACTCATCCTTTCCATTGTTCAATTACTGCCACCTCTTTTTGACTCATCAGAAAATTTCTTAGCATTCAGGGGAGCCAATGTATAATTGCCAAACTTTGTGGGTTTTTTTTCCACTTAGTTTTGGTACACACTGGGGTTTAAGCCTACTTTTTCTTACTAATAATTATATAAAAGAATTACATAAAATCAGTTCCAGATTACCTTTTGGTAGCTACATTTTTTTCCCTCTCCTGTCTGTTAGCATTCAGTTTTGTCAACAAAAAATGGGAGAATATCCCATAACTGTAATTGCCTCACCAATAGACATTTCCAGATCAAATAAAATACGTACTGAGAAAAGGACCTAATGAGTATAATTTTAATGAAATACTAACAACAGTAATAAAGCTCTAGTAGGTTGAAGAGTCAAAGAGAGATAGGGAAACTGATACCAGAAATGAATACCAAGGGGCGCCTGGGTGGCTCAGTCCTTAAGCGTCTGCCTTCGGCTCAGGTCATGATCTCAGGGTCCTGGGATCGAGCCCCACATCAGGCTCCCTGCTCAGCAAAGAGTCTGTTTCTCCCTTTCCCTCTGCCCCTCCGCCTGCTTGTGGTCCCTCTCTCACTGTGTCTCTCTCTGTCAAATAAATAAATAAAATCTTAAAAAAAAATGAATACCAAAATTTCTGGGAGCTCTACATAACTAAACGAGAAATTTAGGGGCACCTGGGTGGCTCAGTCGTTAAGCGTCTGCCTTCAGCTCAGGTCATGATTGAGGTCCTGGGATTGAGCCCCACATCGGGCTCCCTGCTCTGCAGGGAGCCTGTTTCTCCTTCTCCCACTCCCCCTGCTTGTGTTCCTGTTCTTGCTCTGTCTCTCTCTGTCAAATAAATAAATAAAATCTTTAAAAAAATAAATAAGTGAGAAATTTAGTGCTGTTAGAGTTAGATGGAATGAATAAATAAATTTAAAATCCAACCAGAATTATTACAAATCCAATTTTTTAAAATTATCTCTTTGAAGTGTATTGGGTCCTTAGGAAAGATTAAAAAAAACTATATATTTTTTATGTTCTCTACAACTCTTGAACAAAATAAGTTCTTAATTTCACTTCTGTTCACACAACCATATCCTCTAGTAAGTTATGTGTTCTTCACCTTCTCAGAGTATAATCTCTGCCATGTGTCCTATGCAGACTACATAATGGGTGCAATGTACACAAATGCTTTTCCACTCTAAAGCTGTAGCTTACTGTGTATGGAGTGATAGTCTAACACACATGCGTAGTGTGACAGTGCTCCAGCTGGTCTTAAGGGCTAACTTGCTTCAAGTTAACATGCTCCTTGCCTGCTCACTTAAGGTCCTTGATCTGTAACAGAACTAATTTGCCTTCTTTGAGATTTGTAGATCACTGACCTTGGGGAATAAGGGACCAAAACTCCCAAGCCACAGAGGCCAGCAAGTCGGCTTGAAGCCACCTTGGCTTTCTGATTAGCCCAGCAATCTTCTAGCAAAATTTTTTTTCTTTTTAAGGTCACACAAATGACTTTACTGACCTCTGCACATCTATAGAGCTTACCCTCCTTTGCAGAAAGAACAGAGTACTCCTGCACAACCACCCCCTAGTACCAAGGAACCAGACCTTCTTGCACAATTTCTGATTACCAAGGTAACTCTGTAGTTGGCATCATCAAGTCTCCATGTGATCAAGAAGTGTCACAGACCACTGTACTCCTTTAACCAATTAAAACCACTTAAAAATCTCTGGGCCAGGCGCCTGGGTGGCTTAGTTGGTTAATAAGCGACTGCCTTCAGCTCAGGTCATGATCCTGGAGTCCCAGGATCGAGTCCTGCATCAGGCTCCCTGCTCGGCGGGGAGTCTGCTTCTCCCTCTGATCCTCCCCCCTCTCGTGCTCTCTATCTCTCATTCTCTCTCAAATAATAAATAAAATCTTAAAAAAAATAAAAAAATAAATATCTGGGCCCGCAGAAACCTCGGAGTTGGCCTTTGGACAAGAGTCCCCCTTCTCCCCAGGCAGCTGGCTTCCTGAATAAAGTTCATATTCCTTTCCAATCAAAACTCATCTCTTGAGTAGTGGCCTTTTGAGTGACAGGCAGCCAAACTTGGGGTTTCGGTAACAATAGGACAATGACTTACATGTTCTTACAATACCACTTCTAGGAGAGAATATTTTAGATGATTAATTTATGATGAAGTAGTAATAAAGACTTAAAATAATACATGAATATGTTAATATAAACATTCATTTCCTTATCTGGAATTATTATTCAAATTATCTAAGAATTCTATTTTATTGTGGGTGGAGTTTGCTTTATGGAGTATCAGTAACAAGCAACCAAGAAAATGGGTTAGGTAAATGAGAATCCCGAATACATTACTGAATTTCCTGCTGTAAGAGTGCTCACTCTTGTTTTGGACAGGCAGGAAGCAGCATTATCAAAGGTCCTTCTGATAATTCCACCGCCATTCTTATAGCTGTAGATGATTAAAGGAAAATATTAAAAAGAGAGCAATGACTCATAGTATAGTAGAAGCCCCTTAAAATACTTTTGTCCCTCTAGTACAAGTAGTTGACAATGGGGGTCTTAAAAACATGATTCAACCAATTCTTAGGATTTCTATAAATATTTCTCAGAAAATAACCTTTTTGATGACATTCCTCAAATTAAAAACAGGGTGCATGAAAAGCAAAGCAAAACCATGCTCATTAGGAATAAGTTTCTCCACTCACTATGAGTTCAGGTATCAGAAATAATAGAATTTATTCCTTGCTTTCATTAACACAACTACTCTGCTTAATTATTCTTGCTTAGTTATTCCAGTAACTATGGCAGTGTCTTAGCCCATATCTGAGTATGTATGATAAATTAGGAACTCAGTAATTGTTAAATGAATGAAGGAATGAACAAACCATAAATCCCTAGGAAGAAAGGCAATAAATCTACTGTTTTTCTTCACATAGGTTTTGTTTCAGGGTAACAATTATATGGCCTGAGGCCCTCACTTTGATAATCTAGAGAGATAAAGTTTAGCAGGTATATGGCTCTAATTTGTTCAATCTATTTACCTTTATTACCTAGGAGAACTTGATTTAATCACTGAGTGTAAGACCCCAATTAATAATCATTTTCAGAGTAACAATATTTTTAACTGCAAGAAACTAAAAGAATTTATGTTAATTTTGGAGATTATAAGGCTAACAAGTGAGAATAACTCCGTGCCCCACTTCAGGTGATTCATATATCATAGGAGTTAGAAATCTAGCCACTATCTTTCTTAAGAATAAATTAATTACAAATATTCAGGGAGTATATATTGAGTCTGAGGCCTGAGCCAGATGGACCCTGTTAGGAAATATTAAAAAGTATAAGATGTAGACATCTAAATAGTTGGAGATGACAATGTAGCCAGTTTATTTTTCTAAAAAATCATTTCAAGATTGAGGTGGCAATGAGACGTAAGAATGAAACTTCCAAGAAAGCAACTTTATGTTCCCACCTGGAACATGGATATGATGGATGGAAATACAGCAGTCATTCTGAGAGCATAAGGGGATCTTGAATACACTGATATGATCAAATGCATAAGTTTAAGAGGGAAAAAAACACATCTGGAGATCAATGGATAAATGGTTACAGTGAAGAAGACCTTTGGGTTACATTATTTTCTCTGTATATGAAAACTAGTGAAGTCTGATAACAATGCGTTATAGAATCAACAAAATAATTAAGATTAGAATGAATCTTAGAGAAGCAGTGTAAGCTCCCACCTTCTGTTACACTGAGGACACCAAGAAACCTTCCTTTTTCCACATATTCCCCCACTGGAGGATCTCCCACACTAAAGCTTGAAATTCTTTTAGAAGTTAGGGCCTTTTGTTCATTTCACAAATAGAGATAAAAACTAAAAGTAAATGCCCCAAGGAATTAATGCACCGAGTTAAAATCATGTCAGCTTGTAAAATACAGGTATCGTATTCATGCCTGAGATCAAGTTTTGATGGGCACTGTGAGAGGAAAGCAGAAGGGTACTTAGTACCTATAGCAAAAGTAATTACAGTGTGCAGATGCAGAAAAGGAAGCTTAAGAACACTAAAAACAAACTATCATTTCAACATTTTGTTGTTGGGGTGGTTCTAGAAGAGGAAATGCAGAGAGAAAACATTTTGTTAGTAAATACTAGTAAATCCAATCTAATGATTACTTCTTGCTAACCTATAATATTCATAAAAAAACCATAGATACAAAAATAAAAAGAACTGTAGATGCTGAAAAGTATCAGAAAGTTAATCTCATAGCAAATTTTGGGATAAACTATCTCCTGAGTAACTATATTAATAGAGAGAAATGAGATGAATAATTTAAACAATAAAAATGTTTTTTATAGTACTATAGTATAGCACTATACTTGCACTTATATGTTGTAGATGAAATTTCCTGCACATTTCAGTACAGTTATTACCTCATAAAAAGAAACAGGCTTATTTATTTATTTGGGAAATTAGTTTTTGGTGTAGAGGAGAAGGGGCGGGCATTTCAAGGAAGTTAGTGAATATCCAAGGGAGTGGTGTAAAACTGATGACAGTTTCGCATTACAGACCCTGTAACTTAGTTACTTTGACTTCTGAACAGCAGAACCAAAAGCATGATAAACAAAAGGTAGGAATCTAATAGAAGTTCAGAAGACAAAAGATCAATTTAGATAATCTACAAAGCAGATAATCAATTTAAACAATTTTCATTTTAGTCTGCTGACAAAATTATATAGTACAAAATCATAAAATGTTAGATTTGTTAATTATATATTTGTTCATATTATACTTAATAACTACACTAAAATATTTATCAGATTAAATGTAACGTGGTATCCAAGATTATATTCTGGAACAGAAAAAGTTTGTAGTTGAAAAAGTGCTGAGATCAAATAAACTCTGTAGTTTATAGTATTGTACCAAAGTAAATTCCCTAGTTTTGACAAATAGTTGTATGTTAACATTAGGGCAAGCTGGGAACTCTTTGGGCTATCTTTGTAAATTCTCTGTAAATTTAAATTTCTTCCAAAATAAAATGCTTATTAAAATTTTTGTATTAGAATAAAATTTTTGTATTAGAATAACTCTAGTTTATATTAAACATTTTTTGAAATCAAATTGTGAGGTATGCCAATGGCTCATTTGGGACTACCATGCTCATTTTGCAAAATTCTCTAGTGCCACGGAGTTTAATTGTTTGCCTATACTTTTATCTCCAGAGCAACCATGGGGAAGAGAGTGGTGTTTTCTCAGTGGCAGAAATAGTGATATTTTTATCCAATTATGATATCTGCATCAGGTCTGGATAATACCTTGGGTCATTTCACTTCATGTTCATTTTAGTTGCACATGTTAAAGGTGACAGTTTCCAGTTTCATGTTTCTTTTACTATGTGATAACCAGAGCTATAATAAATATCTCAGGCTCCGACTATGTTTTGTTCAAGGAAAATATACTTTATCCTTTGTTTATAGTACATAATGTTCCTCTGTATTTTAGGATGTTTTAGTATCATTTTCTCATTTATTTTTCATTTGCTGTTATCATTTTCCCTTGTATGTATTATGGGAAAGAAAATAATTTTGGCCTGTATTCACTAATAAGAAAAAAAACTTAGAAAATAAATAAGTAGATTGGGCTTAACACTATTCTGACAGAAGAGAAAGACCTAGTAAAGATAGTAATCTAAATGGCAGCAAATACTAGCAAGATTAAACTAAGCATCTACATACTAACAGCCTAACGTCCTGACTAATCACAGGTTAAAGGAGAACCACAACTTTATTGACTGGTGGGGAAGAATGAGGTTCAGTAGCAACAAAGGAATCAAGACAGAAAGGGATATTTTTTACATTTTGTATTTCCAAATAATCACTTTCATAAAAGCGGGGTAAAAATATGAAAAGAATTCTAGAAATGAAGTCTGGAGTGGTTAAGAAAGATTCCAGTAAGACTGGCAGTGTGGTGCGGGGCCGCCTAACTTGGCTGTGGATTTTTTTTTCTTTTTAATTGTACGAGGCCTTGGGGGAAAGGAGGTGGGTGGAGCTGACTTCAGGGTGGCCACTCTGCTGCAGGTTCTGCTCAGGCTGAGGAAAAGTATGCTTTTTAATTCTCACAAAGGCGCGCTTTAAATGTGAGGTGGAGAAAGACCCTTGTCTATCCACCTCCAAGAAGCTAAGGTCTCACTAACTGTTTAAGACAAATTTCCTTCCCCACTAAACACAAATGAAATTGTTACAGCCCTAGGTCCTGACATTTGTGTCCCAAATTCTAGATGCCTTGTCTCCGAGCATTTACTAAAGATTATTTATCAATGAACGAATAGCTTTTCGGGCTCTTTTTTCGCAATTGAATTTGTGACTTTTACGCGTTTGGCTTTATTGTCTCTTGGCGGTTTTTTTGTTTGGTTTGGTTTGGTTTTTTCCACTCCGCTGCCCGGAGTGAAGACCGTATTACCTTTGGTCTCCTCGATTAGCGTAAAAATTCGTGCAAGGCAGTTCAGTGTCCAGTGCCATCCCATACAAAATGTTAATTCCTCAGGTAACCACTCTGCACCTGACTGTCCCGTGCCTCGGTGCGCCTCAACATTTTCTCGGTGTTTTTCGCTGCTTTATGCCTACACAGAGGTTAATTTCTCCCACCTACCAGTAAGGCACACCGCTCATCGCCTGCGCCTGCGCGCGTCCGCGGGAGTTCGCTATAGAGCGCATGCGCCGTCCCTGCAGCTGCGTGCAGTGGGAAAAAAAGTGTGGGCCGCCGGTGATGATGTAAAAATTCCGCGCGTTCCCTCGATGCGCACAGCTTCCACGGGAGTGAGTCCTGGCCCGTCGCAGTGATGGTACACAGCAGTTGCGTGTGGTTCAGAAGGGTACGTGACTGGTGTTTCTCATCCTGTTCCCCAGAGCCTGGTGCCTGTAGCCCCACCTGAGAACTCTGGTTCTCCTTTCCTCCCTGCTTCCCTCCTCTTTTCTTTCTGAGGGCCTCTTTCCTGCTTGGTTCTCCTGTAGTTGTCTCAGCCCTTCCAGAAGTCAGGCTTGGCCCGTGAGGGGTGGGAAGAGTATATCTACCTGGCACGGTTTAGGACGGTTGTTTGGGGGCATAGGATTTTCGGTTCTTCAGGGGAATTGTGTGCATGTGGGATGGGGAGCTGGGAAAACCTGCTTACCTTTTAGACTTGCAATATGGTATACATAGCGTGTAGGTTGACGTTTTCTTTTGGCTCAAGGAGTCTATTTTTCTTCTTTTAGGTAATAATATCCATAGCCTGTTCCTATATATGTTTTCCTCGAGTGCACTCTTTAAGAGCTTTCTAAAAACTACTTTTCATCAGGAAACGAAAATAATGTAATTGGCTTGTCTTCTTGCAAGAAATTTAGGTCAGTTTTTATGCAGTGCTCATTTTAGACATCGTTTCTATAAAAATTTACAGTTGCTTCAGAATTAAAGAAAAACTCTTAGTCTTACTAGTATGTTTTGAAACTTGCTGGCATTATGAAGAGTCTTACTAGTAATGTTTTGAAACTTGCTGGCATCATTAAAAATGACAAGAGTCAGAGACTCATAAAATAAGTTTGGTTTCTAAACCTCTGAATATGATGAATCTAGAGTAGTAAGAAATGTGTCACGCATTGAACGGAACTTTAAAAACAGGAACTTTTCTTTTACTGGAGAGAGAGGCATGGTTAGTAATATTTCTGAATTAAATTATACTTTTTTTTTGAGTTTGGAAATTTTTCGTTTTTTCAGTAAGTTCTACACCCAGTGTGAGGCTTGAACTCAGGACCCTGAGATCAGGAGTTGCAGGCACTACTGACTCAGCCAGCCAGGCATCCCAAATTAAATCATACTTCAGTCCTCTATTTTCCAGAAAATAGGTAGTCAATAGAAAAGAGACTTGTGAAACGTAGCATTTGTGTATATGAGGTAACTAATTCTTCAGCTAGAAAGAAATTGCTTCTTTTTTTTTTTTTTTTGTGGTTCAGTTCTGAAAGGCTGCTTGTGTAGCCTTACTGCCATGAACAGTCACCTCCACTAAATGTTGTTTACAAGGAGAATCTATTCACTTATATGTGACGCATTTCTGATCTAGCCTGGCAGAATCAAAGTATAAGTTCTTCACCTCCAAGAAAAATACTCTGGCTAGCCCTCAGGTTCATCTTTTATATATTCCTTCTACCCTGTTCCCTTACAACATTCTATTTCATGAGTGCATCTGCATACTCAAAACCTGAACTTTGAATCTTTGTTGTGCTCCCGTCCATTGCAATCTGAGCTCTAGACTGCATCAGGATCACCAAGGGAGCTTTTGCTAAATCTGCTGGTTAGACCTATCCTTATTCCCTTCCCCAGAGTATAGTGGAATGGTCAGTGGACTATACATATTTTGGAAAAAACTCCCAGATGGTTTTGATACTTAACCTATGCTAAGTGATTAAAGACCAGGAATTTAAGAAATTACTCTGTAAGGAATTTTGATAGTTTGAGAGGTTAGTACATAGGATCTTTACATGCAGAAGTTTAGTGAGGAAAACAAGTAAATACTAAATGCAGTGTAAGATTTCAAAAGGCGTCATAATAAAGATATGATCTAATTGCTGAGAGAGTCCAGCAAAGTCAGTGCTAAGTGTTGACTAGAGGAATAAAGAAAGACATCAGAAAATGTGAGATTTGGGTGGGTTTATGATAGAAAAGAACAAACGACAGTGGAGGAAAAGCATGAGCAGAGTGGCATGGAAATGTGATAGTAGATTATGTAGTACAGAGCAAAGAGAGGAAGGAGAGATAGAGGCTGGACAAATGAAAATAAAACTGGAAGAGTAAGTTAAGAACTTTTAAGATTTCTTTAAAAATTTTATTTATTTGACAGAGAGAGAGACAGCGAGAGAAGGAACACAAGCAGGGGGAGTGGGAGAGGGAGAAGCAGGCTTCCTGCAGAGCAGGGAGCCTGATGCGGGGCTCGATCCCAGGACCTTGAGATCTTGACCAGAGCCGAAGGCAGACGCTTAACAACTAAGCCACCCAGGCGCCCCAGTTAGGAACTTTTTCTACCGAGAATTTTAGACTTTATTTTACAAATAGCCATAACAAAAAAACATGAATGGTTTTTGAGTAGGGAGAAATATAATTAGAGATCAGATTTGTTTTCAGAAAAATAGCTCAGGCAGCAGAACAAAGGCTGAGTCAAAGGAATAATTAGACATTGCAAGAGCATTTTAGGAGCCAATGTAATGGTCAAAATACTAAGGCACTTGTACGAGAAAGGAGAAATAGGTAATAGAGCTTTGAGAAAAGAAGCAGGTGTAGTCAGAGATTCCCCAGTGTAGACTCAATGACTAGGTAAGCTGTGGTTTCATTATTTGAGAGAATATTGGGGGAACAGAATTTACCTGAGGTAAAGTTTGGTTTTGCCATGTTCCCATATATCTAAGGTGACTATTATCCTTGCAATGAATATCTAAGAAAAAGTTGCATATTTGAGAGGTTTCAAATATAAATTAAATGCAGATCTTGCTCTTGGTTGCTTTAGACTATTAAGCTTACCTCCTGATGGAGATGTCCAACAGACTAGACATAGAGAATATCTTACCTAGGTGATAGTTAACTGGTATAGTCTGATATCACCCGGAAGAGAAAGTCTAGATTGAAAAGTAGGACGGGGGCATCTGGGTGGCTCAGTCGGTTAAGTGTCCAACTTTTGATTTCACCTCAGCTCACGATCTCAGGGTCATGAGATCAAGCCCTGCATTGGGCTCCCCGCTGAGCATGGAGTCTGCTTGAGATTCTTTCTCCCTCTCCCTCTGCCTCTCCCCCGAGCTTGCACGCACACGCACTCTCTAAATAAGTAAGTAAATAAAATCTTAAAAAAAAAAAAAAAGTGGGACGGTGTCAGAACCCTTGAGACAGAAAGTGGGAGAACAATTGACAGTTGAAAAAGATCTTTTTTTTTTTAAGATTTTATTTATTTGACAGAGAGAGACACAGTGAGAGAGGGAACACAAGCAGGGGGCGTGGGAGAGGGAGAAGCAGGCTTCCCGCTGAGCAGGGAGCCCGATGCGGGGCTCGATCCCAGGACCCTGGGATCACGACCTGAACCGAAGGCAGACGCTTAACAACTGAGCCACCCAGGCGCCCCCCAAAAAAAGATCTTAAGAGAGTTAATCAAATGGGAAAGGGGGGTCAGACCAGAGGTGAACTAAGAGAAGACTATGGATTTGACATTCAGAAAGACTATATTGACTTTTTTAGGAGCTTTAGTGGTAACAGGATTAGGAGTTCTAACTTGGTAAGCATGTTTGGTATACAAATGGTCTCTTTCTCTTTTTTAAGTATGGAAACTTCATTGATAACCTAAGACTCTTCACCAGAGGAGGAAGTGGTGGAATGGGTTACCCTCGCTTAGGTGGAGAAGGTGGAAAAGGTGGTGACGTCTGGGTTGTAGCCCATAACAAAATGACTTTGAAACAACTTAAAGACAAATATCCTCAGAAACGGTTTGTGGCTGGAGAAGGAGCAAATAGTCGGTAAGTATTTACTGAATGACTTTGATTTTAGAAAATTAATCCCTCCCAGAGGAAAAAAAAAGTTAGAAGATCAAAATTGAACTGGTAATTTGAAGGAAATTATAGTCTATATTTGTAAATGAGCAAAAGTCTACAATAATTGTCTCAACTCTAGTAAAGATAAAAGGTAGATACTAAGGAATGTTTTGGAGTTTTTAAACATTATTCTTTTCTTCTCTCAGTGTCTGTTTATATTCTTTTGCACTTCAGAAAAATGGTCTGAATCTCCACTGTTTCCTTCTAAAATTAAACTTTTAGCAATCTTTAGGAAACCTTTTTCAAATCTCAGCTGTTCTACCCACCCTACCATCACCAGTAGTTCTACCAGAATCTTAAGATTTAGAGCCTGTTTCACTCATAAGTCCCTTGTATATTTTCTTTTGGCTTGTTTTGGTCTTCTCTCTGTGACATCAAAACCTTCCATTTATTTTTTGTAAATTTTATTTTTTATGGAACATATATGCCGCCCTCAGAATAGGAAAGGAACTTTTTCTTTCGTTACAAAGATATTGAAGAAAAATCTTACTCAGTTACCTATTTTGGAAGTGGTGCTTTAACCAAGTCTTGAAAGGGGAATAGAACTTTGCCAGATAATCAAGGCAGGAAAAGGTGTGTTGGCAAGTGTACAACATTTATAAAGGCAGTACATTAGGAGGGAACAAACTGTTTGCTGAAATAATACTTATTTCTAGCATAACTGTGGTACAAATGGGGTGGCTCATTTTAAAATAAAGACATTATAGTCCAGATCATGAAGAGCCTGATATGCTGTGTTACAGAGTTTGAAGATTATCTTAGAGTGATGGGGAGTCATTGAAGGATTTTAAATAGGCAAGTGACATTAATAAATTAATGTCTTAGAAAAATCACTCTAGGGTTAATTGGTTAAAGAATGCATTAGAGGTGTTGATTGAGACTAGAGACAAGAGATCAATTTGGAGAATACTGCAGTATTTCAGAAATGAAGTTCACAGTGTCTGGCCTATACCCATCATTCTGGTTTCATCTCCCTCCATGTTCTGTGTGTTCTGCATTCCAACCATGTTGGCTTTCTTTTAGTATCTTATACC